TTAGTCTTGGCTGCAATCGGACTAGCTACTAGCAAAGATTTGAACTCTATTTCTCCAAACAGAGGCTGTCCAAGAAGCCATTTACAATGGGATCTAAAACTAGAAAACTTCTAAATGACCAAAACAAATGTAATGCAAAATGTTGTCTTTCCTCACAAAGACACATAAAAAAAAACTCATCAACAATCATTTAGTTGCATCTTCTGGGTGATGCTTTGCTTTTATTTTGCAATTTTAGATAAAACAATGATAAAATTTTACAATAAGGGTCCATTTATTAACATTACTTAGTGCAGTATTAAGGATTAATAAACTATTAAATAAAGCATTAACAACTAATGTTAACATTAAGTAATGCATTACTAAGCAGACATTGCCCTGGCCCTTTGTCCTACCTTTAAGGACACTTAGTTAACAATATCGGAGACAACAATAAAGGGATCCTTATGTGTTACCAAAACTACTATAGGATGTTAAAGGTGACAAAAACAATTTTCAAAAACTACGAAAGAGACAAAAAACTGAAAAAAAGCACTTTTCCTTTTTTTGTTGTACTTTTTAAGCTTTTAAGTTCACATGTTTATGCTCGTACTTCTTAAAAATGCATTTAATTCGCTAAAACGCCACATTTGAGCAGCAGTGTTGTTTACCTAGACATCATTCTGTATTCTTTGAGAAGCATTCAATTAAACAAAACCTGATTTTGTGACTTTGTGTGTTTGAAGATTGGAGACAGCACAGAGGAGTGTGCGAAACACTTCTTTAGCAGCTCCAGATCAGTCTGAACGCATGAAATAAAAGATGGACTTACTGCAGAAATGAATCGAAGCCTAAACACCGTTTTATTCAGTAAAAGTCAGCGTGCCGAGTCCCGCAGGGCTCCATCAATTCAATTATCATGGAGAGCCTCTACATTAGAGCGTACCACTTCTGCCCCCAGAGCCGCGGGCACTGGGACAAATAACACACACACCCCAGGAATATGCTAAATCATATGAGTGGCCCATTTATCATTGCCAAGGGAACCCCCCCCCCCCTCCCCCTCCCCACCCACGCTCTCTCTGAGTCCTGCACAGGAGCTCTCCATGGATGGAGACTGAAAGGGCCCGGTGTGGAGATTTGGGCCCGGCTGTCAGCACACGTCCCATCTCGGCTCTGGCCTCTGCCCACGTCTGATAAGACCAATCTGCAGGGACAACACCTGAGACCCCAAACCTCCACGCTGTCACACATCCTCAAAACAGCAGTCAGGAACATCACAAAGGTCTCTGAGCGCCCTCACCCCAACAAAACACTTCTTTATCTCCAGAAAGCACTCAGTGATGCAAAACAAGAAAACCACACGAAAGGCGGTTTCTTAAAAATCACCAATCAAACGCTAATTAATCACTCTAGGATCATACTTTGGTCTGGCAGCTCATTAAAGGAACATTAATCAGTAGCACTTCCTGTGTGGGCCCCTTGCTGCTCGTTCAGCTTCAACTCCAGTGTTGAACAAGAATCCAAAAGACGTTCTCGTAAAACCTGACCCAGCTAAGTAGAAAACGCACATTTCAACCCTTAAAGCTGTAAAACTCTGTTTATGTCAATGTCTTCTTCAGAGAAGCTGCTTGTTCTTCTACAGCTTTGTTAGGAAAAAGATGGGAATAGCTTATTCCCATCTTGGCTCCCGGGCTTCGACTCACATCCTCAAATTTAAGAACTTCATTATCTTAACCTTGTTATCTAGCACCAGAGGGACTGGGATTTTAAACGAGTGAGTTAGAGAAATCACGCCGATTCCCACAGTCTTCAAGAGTAGTGCTTCATTTAATCATGAAGACATCAAACACTGCATATTCCAAGTGTGTGTGTGTGTGTGTGTGTTAGTGTGTGTGTGTGTGTGTGTGTGTGTGTGTGTGTGTGTGTGTGTGTGTGTGTGTGTGTGTGTGTGTGTGTGTGTGTGTGTTAGTGTGTGTGTGTGTGTGTGTGTGTGTGTTAGTGTGTGTGTTAGTGAGACTAATAAATTTGCAGCACAAGGAAGGATTTGTCCTCTTAGCTGAGAAATAAATGAAGAGCTCACATGAGGATGAAAAGTACGATAGAACAAATGGTACCAAAACAACTAGTACAGGCCAAATGTAACCCAACCCATTCAGGAGTGTGTTGTTGTACAATTTATCATCACGAGTTGTGGTAGAAATAACCTCAGAACCCTAACCCTCAATGGCCTCTGGAGAAACAGGGTGTGTGTATTTCAAGACTGATGAGGTACTAGCTAGGCCAAAGCGTTGTGTGCTACTGCCATCTCCGTATAGCTCATATCTTTAAAATTCAAAGACATCAAATGTTGCCGTCAGCCTAATCATCTGAATGAACTGTGGGTGCATGGTCAGCACATGAGAAGCTCGTCAAGCTCAGCTGTCCGAGAGCATCCACGAAGAAAAACAAAGCCCATTTTGTCTCAAAGCCAGGTCATTTATTTCCACACGTTGTTTAGACAGCCGTAACGGGTCATAATCTTAAATACCCTTTCAATGGAACCCCCCCCCCCCCCCCACACACACACACACACACACACAAACCACCTCCAAACCAGAGCATGCCTTTACAAGCCAACATGTGGACTCAGGAAACCCTGCATCCTGCCCCTGATGGACTTAGATTGCACTTGTGAGAGGCATCAAAAGGCAAGAGGGAGACGGAGAGCAGCCTTGCCCCGAGCCACGCCTTCCAGTTTGGGTGTGAGGAATTCCAGAGGAAACCTACAGCAGCGACGAGGCTGTGAAAGGGCGCTTTGACTCGGCTCTGACAGAACAGGGCTTGTTGGACCACGTGAAACCGAGAAAACTCACTGTTTTGCTAGATCAGTAGCCGCCTATGCTGTGTGGTCGTGTCAGCGGCGAAATAGGAGCCTAATTACTGATTGCTAAGCAAACTGTTAGAAAATTTTCATGCATTTCTCCCAACGATCCAAAACAGCAGTGCTACACTCCGGCGGTGCCAGTAGCCACCGTGTTAAACAACAGGAGACCCAATTAAAGCACGCACTCCTCAGTAAAATGTGCTGTTAATGCTGTTTCATTCACACTGGCAGCTGCTGAGCTGCACATGTCTAGGCCTTTATGGTTGTCGCAGGGATCTCTAGCGCCTTGTACTGTAGTGAAAATGCCCCTTGCATCATTTTTCTGCAGGTAATTGTGCCAATAACACATCCCTGAGGAACTCCTTGGTGAAGGACATTTACGAGTGGCTCCAATGCCTCTTTGATCATGTCACACATTTAAACATTAATGGATGTTTAAAGAAAGGAGCACAACTTCAGATGGCTGTTGTAAATCTGGGTTAGCTCCTTGGCTAGCTAAAACAAGGGTCAGGGGAAAAAGTGAGCATGGGGTGCTAGCGGCCTTCGCCTGGTTAGCAGTTTCCACTTCACCCTGGCAGTACTTTGACCATTATCTCCTCCATGCAGCAGCCTCTTTCCCTCAGCTTTGTGTTCAAGTGTCATCCGTGGCTGAGATCCGAAGCCTCCCAGGAATGCCAGAGAGAGTGCGAAGGGAGTCCAACGGGGATAATCCCAATTTCAAATGGAGCTTATGATACCCCCCTCCCCCCTCCATTTCTTCCTCCCTACCCTTCACCCTTCCCCTGTCTGGAACAGATAACTCATCCTTCCATCAACCCAGAGTGTGAGCAGACAGTTGTACCTCTCTAAAGTCATAATTAGCATTCACTCATGCAATTCTTCAATAGAATTTTGAGGTGTTGTGAAGGGTTTGTTTTTCCAAGGCTGCATTGAGATTAGAGGGTGTCCTTTCAGGTAGGCAGTAGCTGACACATACAGGTGTCACCTTCAGACATCTGATGGTGGAATAATTAAATTCGGTGTCTAAATTATTGTTTTTTTTTTTTTAAGTCCTTCCTATTTTAAAAGTTAACTTTATTATAATGGCACTGCAATTCCTGACTGTAAAAACAGACTTTTCTGCAACGTCCACTGATGTTTGTAAAAATAATAAAAGGGAAGCACGATCACAGACGTAAAAGCCAATAGGAGGTCAGGAAGAACCAATGTTTGCTTGCTTGGTCAAGATCGTTTGACATCTTTACACATTTTTAGATGACGGTTAAAGAAATAGGTCCTAATATTCCAAGACAAACAGCCGTTTTAACAATAATCCATAGGCCTGTCCCAGCCCCAGCTCCTCCATCTGACCCCGTGTTTGACCTCTTCAACTACAAGGAAAGGCGTGAAGAGAAAGCAAGCGCTTCAGCTCCAGGGATCAGTAAAAAAAATCCCGCAAAGCTGGGTGAAAACCTTGGAAGTTTATCGGCCCCCGTGTGCTGTTGCTGTAGGCCAGCTGCCATGAAGAGAATCAGAGGCGTCACAGAGGTGAAGCCAAACAGCTGCGCCTGCGGTTAGCGCATTGGCCCGGAGGATCAGCTGAGCTCCACTCCATCACATGGCTCAACCTTGCACTTTCTGACCTCCCTTGAGACACACACACACACACACACACACACACACACACACACACACACGGGTTCTGCAGACAAAGATGTGGAGACAGGGAGCGATAAGCATCGATCTCTTATCCCCTAAACTCCATCGTCCGATTTAACGAGCTGCCTATAAAGAAGACGTGAAAGTACAACGTCTCCATTGTTTCTGAGGAAGAGCTTTTACATTTAGTACCAATAGCTAAACTATAAACTTCCTTCTTCATAAACATCTAAAGAGTAGTCGAGACGTGTGAAATCAGTGCATCATGATGGATTGGTAGCAACACACAGGGCTTGAATTAACTTCTTTGGTTTCTTGTTTATGTTTTTTTGACGTAGCTCCTCGGATGAGAAGCAAAACGTCTTCAAGAAACCAAAGAAGTCCAGTTCCTTCATTCAAACCCTGCTGACTACCATCAGCTGAATGACTAACAATCACCAGCGACTGGCAGCATTTTAGTGAGAAGCACTGTCACTTTTCTTATTTTAAAGCAGATTATAAGGAAGAGAAACTTTACCATTGTTCCGTCACTCTTGCTCCGTGCGACTTCCCTCTCCAGGCGAGCCACAGCCAACTTTTCCCTAAACAAACGACAAAGATGGACAGATTGGTCAACAAAATAAATTCCACTTTCATTCATTGGATTTCCCACAAATCAAACTATGTTACACTAAGTTACTCTGTTCCTTTTGGCATTTGATACGTTGGCTTCCAAGACTTAAACATGTCAAGTTTCCCTGCTAAACAACAGAAACCGCACACGCCTGGACACAGACCAGCCGGCATACAAACCCAGAGACAAATTTATCCAATGACTTCACAAAACACAGCTCTCAGGTCTGTCCAGACAAAAATAGCCCAGAGGAAATAAGAAGCAGGGCATCCTAGCACCAGACTTTACACCCCCCCCCCCCACACACACACACACACACACGCGCACACACACACACAAACACACACGAACCAGGCGAAACAAAGAAATCGACTGTGCACGTTCAATCCTTTTCCCTCGTGAGGGCATTGCAAGCTTTAATGGGATAAATCTTGGCATGCGAACTGGGATAATAAAGAACAGCCCCCCCACCTACCCCCCACCCCCACCCCACCCACCACCAGCACCACCACCACACACGCACAAACACACCTCCTCCTGAGGAATCACAACAACTGATGCACTGCTCCAAGACAAGCTTGTTGTTCTGGAAGTGTTTTCATCCTAATTTGTGTGGAAACAAAAAAGTCAGGCAGAGGATCAGAACGCCTCCTCTGGCAGCGTATTTTTATGTCTGAGAGTAATATATCGTTGTGTCAAACACTCAAGAGTAAATTCAAGAATTGAAGTTCATAGTTTGGAGATTAACTCAGATCCTTCCGATTCAGCAAGCCAGATCCATATCAGAGTACTTAACAAAAATATATAACCCTACCCAGACAAGCAGGCTATCCTCTCAGACTACAGAAAATACACCATTTATAATCATTAACAGGCTAAATCTGGATTATTTCCACACTTTCATTTTAATTTATATGATTATTTTTTACATGCAATGTTTGAATAAAGCATTCACAACAACTAACAAACAATTGACAATATGTTTTTTCCATGACGATAGGGAGTATGTACCTAAATAATTACAAGCGAGCAGTAGTTTTGTGTTTTGAGTAAGACCTTACCAACGGATAGCCATTGGGGTCAAAAACCCCTGGGAGCACAACCTCTAGCAACATAAAAAGAACATCTGACTCTCTTTCATCACTGGCAACGAGTGAAGAGGTAAGTGAAGTAGGCAACATAGTTTATGAAAGGAGAAAGTTTTGTCACCGTTTATAACAAATCAGTAAACGCATTTTGTCCTCACGGGCTCCCGTAGAAGGACACATGGTGTCTAATATGGTATCACCCAGAAACTTAGGGTGTTTTTCAATGTCAAGGAATTTCGCCTTGATGCCTTGATCTCGGCCCGGTTGCCTAGGAGATACGCCATCAGGAACCGCCAAGGCGTGCTCCAATGTTCATGTTCTACCGAGGCATCTGTTCTCTGTTTTTAGCCATTTAGCTAGCTGAGCAAGGATACACGGGAGGTGTTTTGTAACCTGGCCTTGGTCAAAAATTTCCCAGAATACAGCGCTGTATTTTCAAAAAGATGGCAGATCCGGGGCTGGTAGCAGCTACTTCGGGGACAAATTTCCAGTGAGTCAACTAATTGTAGCTATCGGGCTGATATCCGAAATGTATTTTATGTCCAAAGCAGTTATCTTTGGTTGGTTAGTTGCAGCTTTGGTGGCTATCAGGTAGTAACTCGCTTACATATTTAATTAAACCAACAAATACACAATTAAAAAGTAAAGGGCTCATTATATATTCATATTGAGACTTATATGTATGAAATATAACTTTAGTCGCGGTCACGTGATTTAAGTCTGTTCCATTTAACCATTTTCTTTGACCAAGGAAGGACAGTGTCCTCGTAAGCAAGACGCCATTATTTTCTGACAACATTTCGATAGATATATCAGAGAATAACTGTAAAAACTATACGATGTCTCTTTAAGCTTTATCAGTTTAAGTCCTTATAAATGTTTACGGTACCATTCACTTCACAATAAATGACCATTTACACCAAAATACGTATTTATTGCCAGCATAGATTGAGGGACTTCCGGCTTGAGATGTCATTTAAACCAGACACTTTTTAAAACAGCATACATCTGCCCGTTCTAGCGGTTAGCTTGGTCAAAATTAAGCCTAATTTGTGAAACTAAGTAATTCAAAGAGCTATCAAAAATATCTTCATCACTTCAAACTGTTTTAAGTAAAATACAGAGCACAGAGTTTAAGTTGTTGTCAAATTACTGACTTGTCTCCAAAAGAATCCCACCTATGTCTCAAACAGGACCTCACAGAGCTGCTTTTCCAACTGACGGCCTTGGGTAATCACAGTCACCTGCACATTTTTCACATTTCTCCAGCAGAGCAGACAGCCCCAACACCCCAGAATAGCTCATGACGAACGTCTTCTTGGCTCCATTTAACAACAAGACATGATTGTTTCAGAGTGGCTTACCTGTTGCGGGGGGGTGGGGGGGTGGGGGGGGGGGGGGCAGCAGACCCACGGCTGATAGATGAGTCTGGACTGAAAAAATGTGCTTCAGACTAATATTAATCTGGCTTTCTTTTTGCTGGTGTTTGCATTTGCAGCGTCTAATGAGAGCAGATTGACTCAAGCAAAGCTAAGCCTGGTTGTGACACACACACACACACACACACACTGAAGAAGTTGTGAAAGGCTCAAAGATTTAAGGCGAGGGTGTGTGTGTGTGTGCGTTCATTGAGCATTTATCAGGGTGAAACCATCCTTTTTAATAAAGACAGTTATGGCATAAACGCCTAGATCAGTGTGTGAAAACAACTTCCACAGCTGACACTGACTCATCCACTTATGTTCTCTTCCTATTACCACATACAGTACACATCATCACTCCATCTGAAGAACAGGGACCAAAAATAAAACGATCTGGAACTTCTCACAGCACGTTTTGTTTGGTTAAAGCCGGCCACACCTGGCATTCCTCCAGTCTGTGTTATGGCTGAGCGTCAGCCCTGTAAGGGGTTAAGTTTCAGGCCACTTGTGAGCAGGCATGTTGCAGGAGCAGCCAAGCATGAGCCAACAGCGCCACGAGAGAAGAAGAAAATCATCGCCAAATATAGAGCAATTTGACATTCTGTGTTAAATGTAATTATAGTAATTGGCACCAGCAGTAGTCAAAACAGTATTCTGGTGCAAAACGCTTACTGATGTCATTCAGCCCATGGGGGATAATATTCCCACACATGAATGTAAATAAACCCCCTGTTTGCTACACATGTTGATGCATGTAATGACATCTTACTGTGCATATGTCACAAGATTCCAACCTTTATTTTTTTCTCACAAATTACTCACTCTGCGAAAGCTTACCAGCTGTGTAAACGGAACCTGGAATAGCCAGACAGAGTAACAAGAAGTCAAGAGGTTTATCTCTAGGAATCTGTACAGTAGAAGTGTTATTATTTCCCTCTGAAGCACGTGTGTTCTCATGCAATATCATCCCAAAAAGGTAATAAAATGCTTCAGTTGGGAGCATGGACGTAATTTTTTTGGGGGGTGGACAGGGGGGACATGCCCCCCCCACTCTTTCCAAAGTCAAGTTTTGACCCCTGCACTTTTTACCATCCAAAAAAAACATTACGCTATATTAAATTGACACTGGTTGAGCTCTAGGACCAAGCAGAAAACAACCATTTGTGTTGAAGCCTGTTTTCCATTAGAACATACTGTACAGATCCCCCCCCCACACACACACACACTTCTAAAGTGAAAATTACGTTCATGGTTGGGAGCATAATTCTTGGTTTATTTGATATTGGTGCTGAAACTGATAGAATTTGTTGAAAACGGTGGAATTATAATTATTTTGGTAAAATATTGCATGTAATCTGGTGTGATACTACTCCGATTTTCTGCTGTGAATGACTCTCACCCCTTCTTTCCGCTGGATGTAAAAGCGGCCACGTAACGTCATAGTGGCGTTTTACCCGCAAGCTCATTCCCAAACGGAAGCAATCCTGACACAAAATGGAAGCAAAAGCTTTTCGCACAGCTGATCTTGTGACGCCACAAAATCACGGGACAATTGCAGCATCGTGCCGGATTTCAGACGTCCACACATAACAACCAAGGAGAAAATCAGCTGCGTGTGTCAAAATGTCATTGGTTTATTTTCTGTTCCGTGTACATCGGCTACGGAAGTTTTAACAGGAAATGACCTACGTTTACCTGCGTGTGACTTTTATTTAGAAAGTTTCCGGATGTTTTACACTGTTTTCTTGTTTAACTTCCTGTCCGGCCTGATCTAAACTATGGAGTTTGACGTGTTTTGGAAGTGTAGCAAGTAAAAAAATAGACTTGAAACGTAACGATAGCGTCCCCTCGTTTCTGGGGTGTGTCCAAAACGTTACACTTAACTGCCGATGGAAAGGAAACCGTCCACTAGAACGGCGAATAATTGCACGGCGGTTTTGTGACAATTTTGTGTGCAGTGGAATGAAGGGGTCAGGGACCAACCTGCCACATTTTAGCTCAATTTTCATGTTTTCAACGACCGCGAAACTGCCAGGAAACTTACTCTGTGGGACTTGGCCACAGTAATAGTAGACAGGTTCCTTTCCACTGGCTGCAAAGAGTCACGTTTTGGACGTGTTGCTTACTTTTTAAGTCTATTTTTTACACGCTATGCTTTCAGAATCCGTCAAAATGAGCAGTTCAGCTTGGGCCAGACAGAAAATCAAACACGTACGCAGCGTAAAATATCCGAAAACTGTCTAAATAAAAGTCACATGGCGATTTCCTGTTGCTTAACTAGTAACATATATGTAATTTCCTGTGAAACTGTAGATGAGGTAAACAGAACAGAAAATAAAGCACAGTCCTTTTTGAATACATGCAGCCATCTTCCTCCTTGCTTGCTATCATCTGAAGTTCCGAAATCACTCATGGTGTTGCTATTCTCCCGTGATTTTGTGACCTTGCAGGACCAGCTC